CCCCAAAACCCCAAAACCCCAAAACCCCAAAACCCCAAAACCCCAAAACCCCAAAACCCCTGAGAGTAATTTATTTTTGAAATAAAATTTACATTCATCTTCGTAATATGAAAGCTACAAGGTATCTTTTAAAACTTTTCTTCTAGAGTTAACGCAGATATGAACCTACAAGAGATCATTGAAAACACAGGTTCTACCACTCAAGAATATCTTAATAAAAAGTATGTAAAATCTCTGAGGCTATAGTGGAGGCAAGAGGAGCAAGCCTAACCATACGATTAAATAACTTAATTAAGCAGAATAATATTCAGCTTTCCAAGGTAGTCAATAATCAAACGGTAAGCTATCAATTAATGATCGCAGACTAATAAAATGAGCAAATAAGAAAAACTCTTGGATTAGAAGCATACTTGATTCTGAAGATAAAAGAGTCAGACCAGGAACTGCAGCTGCATCTTCTGGAGTCAGTCGCTTAAGCAAGAAATATTATGAAATGACTAAAGAGACATTAAAGCAGAAAGTGCATAAGAAGTATTTTCAGAATTTCAGTTCATCTCCAAAGAGAAGTCTTGTCAAGAAGAAAAGAAATAGAACTGAGGCTAAATTTTGTCCTTATACAACAAAGGATTCAAATCAAATGGGTAATGCCTCAGCTTTGTTAGAGAGATCTTCTGCTGAGATTACAGAAACTAGGGATAAAACCTAACTCTCAAAAAGTGCATTCTTCAGGTGCTCGATCAAGATGCGGGAGAAAGAATAAAAATAACAGTCAAGCGCAGATGAGGAATAAGGATAAATTGTCGATAGCAGATTACAACTCTTTACTAATACCTTATTCACATCAGCAATCTTATGTAGGTGATCAGTTAAATAGAATACAAGAGATAAAAGATTTATATTTCGAGCCCAGAACAAGCAAAAATACAGCAAATACTTTTCTATCTCATTCTCGTAAAAAGCCGAAGAAGTAAGTTTGTAGTTCTGATTCCTCATAGAAAAGGAAAAAGATTAGCAATTCAAGGAGTTCATCCAGATTGAAGGCATAAAATTAATAGCAAAAATAGGCTAAATTCTTTCTTTACTCCCAAGAGTGACCGAGTGGAGTGTATTAATATCAATTTGAATACAGAATACCAGAAACATCTAGAAATTATGAAACTATTTTCTATCTATCATAAAGAAACCAATAATAGGACTTTGGAATTTTATAAGAATTTTGGAATAGAGAATATCTCAGAAGCTCAAATCAAAGAGATCAACCGAACCACTGTAAAAAACAAAATGGCTACAGCTAACTTCTCAAGCCTTAAATCTGATCTAGTTGAGGGTAATTATGAACAGACTATAGTTTCATTCTTAACTCTACATAAAAAGCGATAAATGTACAAATTAAATCAAGCTTTTATCTGTAATGAAGTTAGATAGTAAATTTTTTGATTTCTTTTTATCAACATTTGAGGCTTTCATAATTATTTCATTTATGATCCTAATAATTACCAATCAGACATCAATCAAAACAGCCAAGATGTGATTGTTATGAATTCAATGAGCAATAATTCTGCTTACTGTACTGAATACAAATTTGAAAAATCAGATATCCCATTTGAGCTAACACAACAAGAATATGAAATTTACAATGCAGCTGAGATTGCTCTTCGAGAGACTATGAGAAGGAAAAACACTTTTTCAGATCAGAATTCACGTAATTTCTGTTGTTAATTTCAGCCAAATAACGAACAATGTTACGTCTTCAACTTGCTCATAAATTATTTCTTACATAAGTAAGTAAAACTTGAACTCTAGTGACTTCATTACTCAGCCTGAGAAGTCTCATTTGAACAGTCAATCAGAGATAGATCTTGGAGACAGTGAAGCCGCTGAGACTGAAAAGAAATTTAACTTGCCCAGAGGGGGGAAGAAGGGCTTGTTCATAGCCCTGATTCTGGACATGCTCCATAAGACTACGATTATGAAGTTTGATGATATTCATATTTATCTTGAAGATTTTAAATAAACAAAGAATAATGTTCCAGCAAGCAATGAACCCATACGAGCATGAACGCATGGAAGAGATTATAGATGATCTTAAATAAAGATCTCAAGGAGACCAGCAGGAAGTTGAATATACTTAGAGAGAATTATGACAAATTGGAGAAGGAATCAGCCATTAAAGTTAAAATGGCTTATGACGAAAAAGAACGAATGAAGAAAGTCTTTGATGCCCTTCAGAGTGATTATAATGCCCTTCTTGACCCCAAACAGAGGAAAGACCTTATTTCAGGGTCTTTGAAGGATTATAAACAATTGCTAGATTTACTCAACACTTCTGAAGAAATGAAGTCTGTGCAAGCAAAGACTGTTTCTGAGATAACTAAAATGTATGATATATCCCAAGCGCACCAATACGACAGAGCAAGTCGGCAAAAAGGTAAGTTTAGAGTATCAAATTAGGTATTGGAGTTCAAACGGAAGAGGAAAGAGAGAAAGTAGAAAAGTATCTGCTCAAAAGGCCGTATTAATTCAATTTTTAATCCTAAAATAGGGGTTTTGGGGTTTTGGGGTTTTGGGGT